GCCACGCTGAGCCATTGGGCAACACTCAGGTGCAGCTTGCTGCACGGCTGCAAGTCATGTCCGATTTTCATATCCATTAACGAGTCGATTTATTAATAAAGAGTGCGGGGGCTTTGGGCCCCCGCACTCCGTCTGGTGTGAACAAAGCACGAGAGCCTCTCGGCAAGTCTTGTTGACACTGCTAAGTTTTAATTTCGGTGCAACTCAAGTGCAAAGTGCTTTCAGTCGTCCATAGGCCCCGGAACATGGAATAATGGAATACGGAATACCCATTTTGGGAAGCGAAAGAATCCGGAATACCCAAATTTGGGCCTTGGAATACTAGAATACAGAATACTGGGCTTTTCCGAGCATACTACACAACATGTGGACAGCAAACAGCGGCAGAATACTTGACTTCGAACTAAAAAGACATCCAAAAGCATGCTTCGAACGAAAGAAGATTGTAGAAAAACTCACACGACACGGCGCCCTCCTTACGTAGCTTCCAAAGAGTGTCAAAAGACACATTTACGAAACGGAATACAGAATACTTGAGCACCTTGGAATACGGAATACTCCCTTTTTGGAAGCTTGGAATACAGAATACTGGGGGTCAAGTATTCCATGTTCCGGGGCCGACGTCCAGTTGTACACCTAGACTTTATTTGTGGTCCACACCGGCCAAGGGGTCGGCCACGACTGATAGAGCTGACACTATTCTTTGAATCCGGTGCGACAAGGTAATGCCTTGCCGCTGCAGTCGATCAAAATGCACACCAAAGTGAAATCTGGTGCATTCGAAATTGGAGTTCAGGCTCGACTCGTACTGTTGACACGAGTTGCGAGAAGTATGCGAGCTCAACAGAAAGCTTTCCAGTCGTGCGATTGTGCACCGGATGACCAATTTTCTGAATTTTAGCAATTTTAGTGTCGTTTCTCAATCGCATACAACTCGACTGAATCCGCTGAATCCGCTGACACACAGCATCGAATAAGGTGCGACATATCTGAGTATACCCAGCAGTACTGCATGATATGCACCGGATCCGGAAGGAAGTGCTAGTCTTCGCCCTTACGTGCTAGACTTGGAGATTTGACACCACTTGGCAGTCTGCGACAGTCCTTATTATTAACACCAGCCCAGCCGCGATGTTCTCGTGTAGTCGGAACTCGGCGACGGCGTTAAGCTTACGTCACTCGACCAATCAGATCGCAGGGTTCCTCCAGGCGAGTCACTAAGAGCCCCCTAACAATCGTCGAAAAACAAGTGCAACCAACTGCAACGTACCTACACATCATCATTGCATAAGGGCGCCCAAACATGTACGTATCAACTTAATTGACCTGGTCTGCTATGCAAACGGCTGCGGCGGCCGGAATGGCATGATGCATGACTCAACAGCTGCCAACATTTTGCTTCTGCAATTGCAGAGACTAATCTACTAACGGTCCTAGCTGGACGCACATGCACACTGCTCATGATAGCTTTGGTAAGAAGGGCCGGCCGCGGTGAAGAAAAAACCCTTGCATTGGGCTACTATTGGTCCCAGACGCACATGCAGATTGCTGATGATAGCTTTAGTAAGAAGGGCAGAAGCAACGGTAGCAAGGACTTCAAGTGCTCGCAACAAGAAACAATCTATATTTGAGAACTCGTAGCAGATTGTCAACTGCCTCGACCATGTAGCCTAGGGTATGGGCCCTTAAATACATCAACTTAGTGGGACCATCATGACCGAATGGGACCCTTATGTCGGAGTTACAACCATAGGCACGTGTGCGCCTTAGCACCGGATGTTCTAGGAATAATGATGATTACACGATGATGCCAGATTCGCTAGCAACGAAATCCGATAGTTATGACCAACGAAGTAATTTGCAATCAAAGGCTGTCCACAGGAAAGAGGTAAAGACCACCAATCCTGGTCCAACAAAAGGGTTAGATATGTCTTGTGGGGCTCCAATATCACGATCATGCTGGAGGAGCGGCCAGAGGGAGGGGGGCTGTATTGGGCGAAAATCAAAACTGCAAGGGTTTTGAACTACAAGCCTAATTCCTGTACGTATTCATCAAAAGCAGACTCGCTTCACCCTCACTTCACCCTCGCTTCCCCCTGCACAGGCCTCCACTTGTGCTTAGCCGCGCCCATACGGATGATACCTGCTTCCCCCGCTGCCGCCCGCCCCGCTCATGCCTCCACGGCTGCTGCCATAGCCGCTGCTGCCATACCCGCCGCCGCTGCTTCCGGCCCCGTAGCCACTCCCGTACGCACTGGCTCCTCCCGCAGCCCCGTAGCCGCCGTACCCCGCGGATGCGCCGTACACGTCCTCTGCACCGTACCCGCTGCCGTAGCCATACCCGCCTGCAGCGTATCCAGAACTCCCGTATCCTCCCCCTGCTGACGACCCCCCATACCCCCCGCTGGAGCTCCCATACCCTCCATAGCCGCTGCCCCCATAGCCCGCCCCGTAGCCAGCGGGCCCCCCATAGCCTGCGGAGCCATAGCCGCCGCGGCCACCGGTAGACCGGCCATAGCCCCCCCCTGCTCCTGCCCCGTAGCCCCCCCCATAGCCATCGCCATAGCCGCCCCCGTAGCCGCCCCCCCCATACCCGCCGCTCCTTCCTCCATAGCCGCCCCCGTAACCGCCGCCCCCGTAGCCGCCAGTGGGGCCGTCCCCAAGGGGCTTCTTGGGCTCAGCCTTCTTGACCTCCACCTACAGACAATGGCACACGGCGGGGAGAGTGAGGCAAAGAGCCCCAGACAGGCAACCAAGAAACATGCGCGGGATCCACTACTCGCTTCGGCGTGCAATTGCATTCCGACCTGCTGATGTCCACCTAGCAACTGCCCCTCTACCAAAGAATGCAAGGACAATCCCCAGCTGCAGCTATGACTGTAGGCAAACACGTCCGCACCGAGCCCTCAAGACACGCGGGCCACGCTTTATGCCAGGAGCAGGGCCCGCTGCGGCGCTGACCTGCTTGTTGTCGATCTCGTGCACCTTGTTGCTGCTCAGGATGGTGTCCACCACGGCCTCGTTGTCAAAGGTGAGGAAGCCAAAGCCGCGCGAGCGCCCCGTCGTGTGGTCCTGCATGATCACCACGTCCACAATGGTGCCGTACGCCCCAAAGTGCTCCTTCAGCACATCTGCACGCAGCGCCCACCGCCGCGTCAGAAGACCATGAGACAGGGGGAGCAGCCCGGGCAAAGCAGGGGGGGTGCAGGCAGGCGCGGGCCAGCCATGGCACGCAGCGGCGGTCGGCCCAGGACAATCTGCTCCACAGGGTCCACAGGTCGGGCTGCACTGCAATCCAGGCATCTCTGTGCATCAACAGAAGGTGGCCACCTGACGCGCGGCGAGTATCAGAAGAGGGCACCCCGCTGGTCCATGCCCAGGCTCAAGGAGCAGATGGCGTACCTTCTGTGGCGGACGCGGGGAGGCCCCCCACAAAGATCTTCTTTGTTCGTGGCCCCCTCAGGCCCTGGGATGCCTCCCGCGGAACTGCACTCTTCACCTCAACCTGCACCCCCGGAGGAGCACAGTCAGCACAAGGCGGAAGGATAAGGGGCTGCGCTCTTGAGGCACGGCACCTCCTCAGGAGCACGCCACACAACAAAGAGGAAGGGGCGGGATGGAGTGCAAAGCCCTGAAGCTGCACATGCCTCGACAAGTCCTGCGAAATGCTCATTGGCTGTCTCTATGAGGGTGGACCCTCCACGAAACGCTGAGCTCTCAAATAGCTGAGCACTTAAGCAAGACAAGAGCCAATCACCAACATGCGAACCAATTCTCCAAATGCAACGGACAATGTTGTTCACCAGCAAAACAGGATGAAAGCCAACGCCAGAGCTTCTTACATCTCGGCCATCAATCCGGTGCTTCTCTTCCAGCACCCTGTTCACGCTGTCCTGGTTGTCGAAGGTAACAAACCCAAAACCTCTGGGGCGGCCCGTAATCCTGTCCTTCATGATAACCGCATCGGTAATGTTGCCATACTTGGCAAAGTGATTCCGCAGTCCCTCTGCATTAACATGGATGATGTCAGCAAAGCTTGGAACAGGCCCCTAAAATAAAACTGGGAGGATCTGATCTACCAACAGATTGAGCCGAAGACATAATCGCCATGCATCCACTTTCACATCCATGGTCAAGAAGCTGGTAATGGTCCTGCTATCAAGCCACAGATTGGTCGCCGATCTTACCGGTAGAAGTGTCCCATGATAGGCCCCCAACGAAAATCTTCCCTTGGTCAATCCTGGAGAGAAACAATCTTCACTCTCAATGAAACCTCTGACCAGAGCACACTTGACCAAGACGAACAGAAGTGGAGCAGAAATGGGTTACATCTAATCCATACCATCTGCATATGACTACATGCCATACCGCACAGCGAAGGAGGCCCATGCTAATCACAACTAAAGAGTGTCTGCTGTGCTGACTAACCCTGCTTGACCTCCATCTGATGCTGCCGCTGTCTGAGCCTGAGAGTGAGACTCTATGTTCTCTTCCTGACGCTCTCCTCCATTCTGACCGGCTTGCTCTTCTTGCTGATATTCAAGCCCCTCATCCTGATTGCCATTTATTTGCTGCTCGTCTGCCATACTGCGTGCCTGTACGACCAAGTATTTGTGCCTGCAAGTAACCCCTGTTCATCTCATCTGTCAAGCGGAACCAAGGAGGTCATCTATTGTACAAAAATCCACGTCCGATCGCTTGATGCACAAAGCATGAAGAGGTTCAAACCAGAGGCGTACAAAAACACAACAGCAGCGGTAGCAAAGAAAGCAAAGGTCACACTCTATAATGCTACAAACAGAAGTATAACACCTTAGATGCTCAGCAAGCAACAGAGCTGCTTTACTGACCTGCTTGTAGGAGACGCCCGCGCAGATGGTCTGCAGGTACACACTTCTGCCCGAAAATGCTATCTTAGAGCAACTTGCAAGCTGTGCTTGGTGCTTTCATACCTAGTTGAAGGTCTGAGGTCCTGCTTGTTTCCAGGTTTGCCGGCGACATGTGCTGGAATGGCAACTGCTCGGGAGTCGGGACGTGGACCCAGGGGCTCGATCACACTGTCACAGGCTACAGCCTCTCACAGGTACGGTAAATCTACCGGCCGGGAGAGGCCCCCGGTGCTCCCTCCCCGGCCTCCTCAGCTACCATTAACACGTCGTGGTCGCCGGCCATCTCTTACATTGTCGAGCAGCTGCCACATGCAACGTGCAGCAAATTGCTGAGCAATGCGCATCCATGATTCCATTGCCATTTCCATGCATCCATGTGCCGGATTTCTCACCAGCTGACCATCTTTCGTAGCAAGCTGGAGGGGGAAGGTCTGCACGCCTTTGGTCGCACTGTGCTGGGTTCCCCCAACCTTGAGCTGTCATTCTGGGCGACAGCTGGCCTTGAAGAGGGTGTCCCTCTTCTTCTCGAGATCGCCCTCTACCTCGTGCTCTTCTTCAGCTGCGGCATCGCCACCGGCTTCCTCCTCGCGCGCTACTTCACGCTGTGCCTGTCCCTGTACCGAGGGGGCCCCGCAGCTGCCCACTCCGCGGTGCACTGACCCTCCCCACCCGCCACCACCCACCCCGCGCAGGGCACCTGCAGCAAGGGGCCAGGATGGGGCCCGCGCAGCAATGCCAGCCCTGACCGCTCTCTAGGAAGAACGTCCTAGGGCATCCCGATGTTGCCTCGTCGTCACTGACCCCGTGCGTGCCCCCCGTGCCCGCCTGCGCGCCCTGCCACGCTGGCGGCCAGCTTCAAGCGCCACCAGGCCAGCCACGCGCACACGCCCGGCCCCCCCTCCCTCTCCGTCACCATTGCTTGCCCCCCCCGCAGCCCCGCCACGTCCAAGCCCAAAGTCGCCACCCCCCGGCCGCGGCCCAAGAGGCCTTCCGTGAGCCGGAGGATGGGCCGCATCCGCGACGTGCTGCGGCACCGGGGGTGCCTCTACTCAGCCGCGTGTGCGGCGCTCTTGCTGCTCCTCTTTGCCCTGGTACCCCCCATCCCGCAGCCAGAGGCGTATCACCGCTTCGCCGACCGGCGGACGTTGATTGGCGGGGTGCCCAACACACTGAATGTGGTCAGCAACTTCCCGTTCCTCATCATCGGCGTGTTCGGTCTCGTCACCGCCCTACACGGCAACCGCTTCGGCTTCACGTGAGCGCCCTCTCTTTCTACCTCTTGTGAAAACATGCCCCCCGTCTGTCAAGGGGCAAAGCTCGGATGTTGCCACTGTGATGTGCCCCAAGGCTTTTCAGAGCCGTCGAACTCCGCCGAGCCACCTCGAGAGGCACTGTGCCCCCTGTCCCCTCAAAGAAAATCTGTCGCTGCTTCCCCCACAAACTCACCTCAGGTCCTGTCCTTCAGAATACTAGAATGATTTCTTGTGGCAGTGGACATTCTTGCAGACCTGTATAGGGCATACATACTGGGCACACATACTCTCTGTTATCATCATTATTTTTTCTGTGAGACGTTTGACGTAATTTTGCATGCGACTTGGGCAAAGCCTCTTTGGCCCTTCCCAGCTGCGGTTTGCCTTGCTCTGTCCCTCAGGATGTTCCTGTCTCCCAGTGGATGCCACCCCTGCAGATGGCAGCCAGCCTGCACACCCTCACCTCACGCAGCGCACGCCGCTCAGAGCCCACCAGGCCAAGGGCAAGCCGGGGATGTGCCCCTCGCTGAGCTGGCGCCCTCTGAAAATGCCAATGGCAAAGCAGCCGCCGCAGACGTTTTCCTTTTCTGGTGGTGCAGGTGCGGGGGCGAAGTGGCGGGGTGGGCGTGCTTCTTTTTGGGCGTGGCCGCCACCGCCTTTGGCTCCGCCTACTACCACCTGCGCCCCAACGACGGCCGCCTCGTCTGGGACCGCCTCCCGGTCAGTCTGCCCCCTCGCGCCCCGCACGCCCCGCATGCCATGATCAGCAGTGCTGGAGAATGTTGCTATTCTGGCCACCACGGTCTCCCCGGCCACTGGCTCAAAGGGACGGCAGGAGGCCCCAGGTTGCTGCGGGGCGCTGCGGCGAGACTGGGCCACTGCACTTATCCGACATGAGAAGGGTGCTCGGCCACGAGTGTCCCGTGTTTGACCCCTGCTAGTTGCGGAGCCGACCGCTGCGGTGGATTGCCCCAGCTCGGGCTACGAGACGCCCATTGGCTCCGGGGCGGCCGCCTTACCCCACAAATCTGCGGTCTTCCGCCGTGCGCCGAACTGATCCGAGGGCATAAAGCCCACCCTGCTCTGCACTTCCACAGACATCCACCAGCTGGCCCGTCTCATGTGCCCCCCCCCTCCGCCCCTGCCTGGCCGTGCCCCCCTTTGTGGCCTCTCTCACACGCGCCGGCCCCCTGCCTGCAGATGACGGTGGCCTTCACGTCGCTGGTGGTTCTCTTTGTGGTGGAGCGCTTGTCGGAGCGCGGCGGCACCGTGGCGCTCCTCCCCGCGCTGGCGGCCGGCATCGCCTCCGTGGCCTACTGGAGGTCGGGCCCGCATGCGCCCCTCCTCTGTGCCGGCACTGCCAGCGAGGTCCCATTGTCGGCGCACTGCCTCGCTCGCCCCTGTGTGCTCTCTGCGGGCTGCGCTCTGCTGGGAAAGCGGAGGGGCAGCGGCCTTGGAGCGCATCCCCCCCCGGGCGCCCCGTCCCGCCGCAGGATGCCGGGCAGGGAGGAGTGGGAAGGGCCCTGATCCCGCCCGAGCAACAGGGCCCGGTCTGGTCCGCAGCGTCCTTTGGTGGGCCGTCCCCCTGACCCGGGCGCTGTGTCCGTGCGCAGGCTGACGGACGACCTGCGGCCGTACCTGCTGGTGCAGTTCGTGCCGCTGCTGCTCCTCCCCGCGCTCGCGCTGCTCACCCCCGCCAAGTACTCCCACTCCGCCGCCTGGCTCGGCGCGGCCGCCTGCTACGCCGCGGCCAAGCTCGCGGAGGTGGGCGACGGCCTCGTGTTCCGGCTGAGCGGCGCGGTGGTGAGCGGGCACACGGTGAAGCACCTGCTGGCGGCCGCGGTGCCGGTCTACCTCCTGCTCATGCTGCACCGCCGCGCGCTGCTGGCGGAGCGGGTGTCGGAACTAGAGCGGTGGGGGTGGGGGCCCGGGCGGGGGCGGGAGAAGGCGGGGGAGGCCACGGGGCAAGAGGGGCTGTTCGGGGACGAGGAGGAGGGGGCCGCGCAAGAGAGCCAGGGCTTGCTCCCCCGTGGCTCCTCGAGCGAACCACGTGTATCATAGGCTCTGCATCTGACCGGGGATGGTCGCACCACCCCTCAGTGTCGGGCCCCTACCGCTCGCGTGCCCTTATGTCAGTGGCCGCTCGTGACTGTGGTGCACTTGATGCATGCCGACCGTCGAGCATGAGCACGGAACTTGTGGGACGAACTCTCCTGGTGTGCTACCTACAGGACACACGAGGGCAGGCTGCAACCATCTACCAGGCCGACATGACATGCGGGTGTATGAAGCTCGATTGCATTTGCAGGAACATGTAATATCGGACCCGGAACTCCAAGTAAGATACAGCTTGGCTCTTCCGTCGAACTTCAGCTAGAGTGCTTCAATGTTTCTGATGCACGTTTTTCTTATATCGATCAAACTTCTACATGAAAGTGGTAACTTCTGCAAAACGCATGGCGTCAGATTCGATGAGATGCAGTACGTTGTCCGTTACACAAGTGCTTTGTAACAAAGCTTGTAAATCCCGCAGTACGTTCGGGTTTTGTATTTGTTACCATCAAAGCATCATGGAGCGAGTGCAATGAGTTGATCATTTGTCAACAATTATGCGAGATTCACTGATTACATGCATGAATCGGACTTCATGCCATCATAATCATACGGGAAAGTCCATGCGTGGTTTTACTAACTGGACACTGACTTTTCTAAGATACTTATACATACTATAATAGGTGAGCATTCCATGATGGTAGGCACATGCATCGATTCATGGAAACTACTGGAGGCGATGTTGGTTTGAACGTGGTTGGCCCACTCCAGGGTCGAATATCAGCTCTAGAGGAGTCGAGGGATATGTCGGCTAGCCGGGCGAGGGCGGGTGGTTCGCGCGCAGAGGTTGTAGAGAAAGCCCGAGAACTCGTTTCTGACGCGACCAATTTGCAAAGGGCTTCAACGCGTTCAGTCCTACGAGCTTTCTCAAAGTTTGCGTACATGCAAGATCTCAAGGAGCTAGGAGCATGGGCCAGCATTGGATCGATCATGCAGATTGAGCATGCATGCTCCGTTTCTATATACGTTGGCTAGATTTAGACTTGGGCTCATGTAAGTTGGCTATAGAGACTGGTGCATGGCAAGGAATCAAAGCCGCGGGCAGAGCGGTATTGTGCATTGTGTGCAGCGGGCCGGTGAGGTAGAGGACGAAGTCCATTGCGTGTATGATTGTCGATCCAGCATACGATAGTATTAGGAGATTGTTGGCCATTTCCTCTTTAAGGATAAAGAACTTCAAGTTGTTCCTCAACTTGAATTCGCAGGATCAACATGAAGTAGGAAGGTTTCTGCACTTAGCCTTTGAAGTAAGGACAAGATTATTGCAGAACGTTGAATAGATTCAGTCGTCGACTTAGCCGATCACGGCTCCAAACCGGCGTTAAATCATCATCATCATCATCTAAAAAATATCCCTCTATTGTAGATCTGACCATGTTACACTTCAGAGGTTTCAAGATGTGGAGTCACCTACAATTGGTCAGTATGCTGTTTTAGGTTGAAATGTTCAGACGTGAATATGTGTGGCTCAACTCGCAAATGTTCCGCATTCAAGGTTTCCATGTGAAGCTGTAAGCTGGATTCAACAATCTTGATATTTCAACACGTTGTACATTCAACTAAAGTGGACATTCTAGGCGGCAATGGGAGCACTGCTTGCACACGGAGCATCAAGCGGGAAGACCTAAGGCTGCTCCATTATGATGCAGAGTAAACAACTCGTTCGACGAGACTTTTCTAGGAACCGGGTAAAATCACTGGGGGTCGCAGCTGGCTGGTTGCCGGCACGGAGCCGCCCCGATGTCATCGCTGTGCGATGCTGCCGCCCGGCCCCGGTATGCACGCGGTTTGCGGGATGCGCGCCAGGAGGCTGTCCACGGAGGAGAGGAAGGAGGAGCGGCTGTAGTGCTCCTGCACGAACTCCACGGCCGCCTCGCGCAGCGCCTGCCACGCGCCCGCGTCCCCGCTGATGGCCACCACCTGCGCGGCCATGTCCGCGCTGTCGCGCGCCGCCAGGATGCCGTCGCTCACGTTGACCGCGCCCAGCTGCGCCGCGATGCGCTCCATGGCCACCACCGGCACGCCGTGCGCCATCGCGTCCAGCACCTGGGGACAGAGGCGGAGGGGGGGGGGTCACGGGGCGCACCAAGAAAGCGGAGCGGACCAGGAGGCAGCAGCCTTGGACCTTGTTCCGGCATGAGCAGCCTGACGTTGATCGGTGTGCCAACCACCCTCTCTCGACAGGCGAGTGGACACATCGCAATGCCGCCACTCTACAGTCTAGACATGGACATGCTGACCACTTGCACCTACAGAACCAGACGCTGCATCGCGCGGCACGCGTGGCCCCGCGCCGCGGGCGCACCTTGATCTGGATGCCCGCCCCGTACTGGTGCGGCGCCACAAAGAGGCGCGCGCTGTCGTAGTACGGCCCCAATTCGTCCACGCTGCCCAGCACGTGCACCCCCCCCGCGCGGTCGTCCAGCGCCAGCAGCTCGGGGGGGGGCTCCTTGCCGATGACCACGATGCGCGCGCGCGGCTGCTGCCGCCGGATGAGCGGGAACACGTTGGCCACGAAGTGCTTCACGGCGTCCCCGTTGTAGTACATCGTGTTGTGGAAGGCGCCGATGAAGAGCAGGTCCGAGCGCGCGCCGTACCCCGGCAGCGACAGCGCCGGCTCCACATAGAACGACAAAATCTTGGTCTGCACGTGCCCGCCCCTGCACACACCACCGCCGCGCCGTCAGCCCCACGCCGCCCGGAGGAGGCCGCCAGTGGCCGGGCAGACAAGAAGGCAGGAGTCAGGGAGAGGGCGCTGGCGCAGAGCCAGCCGGGCCAGGCACGGCGGGGGACAGGGGCCTGGAGCAGTGCCAGGCGCGCATGTCCGCTGCCTGCGTGCGAGCAGGGCCCGTCCCTGCAGCTGGCCAGCCCCGCGCGAGGAGGCTCACCCGTGGAACTCTGCGACGCGCTCGCGGTCGGCCTGCGTGACGAGCAGGCTCTCGTTGGCCAGGGCAAAGAGGCGCAGCTCCTCCACGCGGCCCTGCTGCACCGCCGCCAGCAGCGCATCGTCGTGCAGCGCCTGCGCGCGCGCCTCGTCGCGGGTGTACCACAGCGCCTGCGCACGCAGCAACACACGCAGCGCTCAGCCACACACTGAGGCCACAGCGCGGCACAGCCAGGCAGGCAGAGCAAGGAGGACAGGACGCAGTACACAAGCGGCCGGCTCACAGGCCCAGCCTGCCCAGCGCAGGGCAGCAGTAACATTGCAGCGGGGCAGGCGCGGCGCCTCACCTCACTGTCAAACACAAGGTACCTGCACACGCAGCACACGCACTGTCAGTAGGGGCAGGGGGCGAGGTACAGCACAGCTTCCGGGGGGGGACACAGCAGCCTGAGGGAGGGGCGCAGAAGTGCTGGCACATGAGCACAGGACAAGTGCCCTGGCCGCAGCAGGAGACCCTTTCCGAAGGGCCACTCACGCGCGGGGCTGGTGCTGCTTGATGCAGGCGTGCGCGTTGAGGAAGATGGGGGGCCGGCTGACGATGACGGCGTCGTAGAAGCCGGCGCGCTCCTCCAGGAAGGCGCACAGCTGCTGCGTGCGCTCGGCCAGGAGGGGGTCGCTGTACTCCCAGCCCGCGGTGGCGTTCCAGATGACCTCCACGCCGCGCTGCAGCAGCTGCGCCACGGTGCGCGGGGGCCGGCGGTCGAGCATGGGGTACATGGTGACCAGCGCGCGGAACTGCGCGAGCGCGTGCAGGATGAGCAGCGCGCGCCCGTAGCCGCTCCCGGTGTCGGGGTCCCCCAGCAGCTGGTCCACAAACAGGATGCGCTTGGCGCCCGTGTTCTCGCGTGCGCACAGCACGCTGGCGGGGCTGGACGGGAAGTGCCGCGACTCGATGAACGGCTTCCACTTGCGCCGGAAGATGACCTCGCTGGCCGCCATAAGCGCCAGCGCCTCGTCGCGCCCCTTGGAGCTGTACTCGTGGTGCGTCACCGCGGCCGCCGGCTGGTACAGCACCGCCAGCCGCTGCTCGTACCGGATCTTCATCTGCAGGTCGCTGTCCTCGTAGTAGTGCGGGAACGTGTTCGCCTCAAACCCGCCCGCCGCGGCAAACACGTCGCGGCGCACCAGCAGGCAGCACGCGCTGCAGTAGTCCACGCTGCGCACGTAGTTGTACTCGGGCGCTGCCGGCGACTGCCCGCGGCCGTACCCCGCGCAGCTGCCCTGCGCGTACACCAGGCTGCCCGCCTCCTGCAGCAGGCCCGTCGGGTAGACGAGCTTGCAGCCGACGGCGCCCGCGTCCAGGCGGCCCTCCAGCGTGGCCACCAGCGCGGCCAGCGTGCCGTTGCCCACCTCCACGTCGTTGTTGAGGTACCAGAGGTAGCGCGACCAGGGGTGGCTCAGGTTGAACGTCGCGTGGTTGTTGGCGCGCGCAAAGCCGAGGGGCTTCTCGGAGCGGCCGCCCACGATGCCCTCCACCTGGGCCAGCAGCGCGGGGGTGCCGTCGCTGGAGGCGTCATCAAACACCACGACCTCAAACGGGATCTCGGTGCCCAGCGCCGCGATGGATCTGAGCGCCTGCATCGTCTTGTTCACGCTGTTGTGCGCCGTGATGATGATGGACACCAGCGGGGCGCCTCCGCCGAAGCGTGGCATGCTAGGCAGCGCGCCCGCCATGCCCGGCTGGCCCTCTACTTGCGCCACAGCGAAGCGCGCGGCGCTGATGGGGGGGCGGTCGCGCGTGTGGCGCATCTTGTACGTGGAGAGGCAGCCTGCGCCGCCGCTCTCGAGCTGCACCATGAGGCGCAGGAAGCCCCAGTGGCTGTGGACCACCAGCAGCAGCAGGCCCGCAAACAGCAGCACGAGCCGCGAGGGGGCCAGCATGCGCAGCGGGCCCATGACGGCACTACCGCGGCAGGCACCCCTACATAGGGGAGGCAAATGCCAGCTAGAATCGGGGGGGGGGGGGCGCGAATGGGGCGTCCTCTGCCGGCCTGCGAATGGGGCTGTCCGGGATGGGACCTGCTGTTCAGCAGTTCAAGTTTGGCCTGAAGGTTGAGGGGAATGGGCTCTGAAACGTGAACCAAGGTCGCTTGGATCCACTGTCCGCCCTTGAAGTTGAACTTGAAATTGGAGCCAGATCTGCCACCGCCTCCCTGCTGCAGGTGCCAGGACTGGTAGAGGTCTGCGCGTGTGCTCACTTCCCTCTGCCCTGGGCCTCGGATGTTCTGCTCTAGCTAGAGCAATTTGCAAGATCTCACGTCTCTTTTCAGATCTCTTTTCAGATCAGCCTGCATTTGCCTGGTCCGGTAGTACCGTACCGTATGGGTTACTCGTAGGTACCCGCAACCCCGGGTGGCGGCAGTACTTTTCTCAGGTGCGTTCAGCCGTCGATCTGGCACGAGGCTACCATTCGACGGATTTCAGGCGCCAAGAAAGCACGGGGGAACCAGGCAGGACAGGGGTACTTTCGAAGCCTCAATGCTGGTAGCAGCTGTCAGACTACCGGTACGGCGTCCAGGTCCAACGGCACACACAGACTTGGCGCGCCACGTTTGGAATCGGATCGACCGATTTTGGTAGCTACTACTACTACCGTAGACTCAGGACTGTATAGCAGTGTAGGACTAGCCTAGCCAGATTCCAATGCCGATGGATTCTTGGAAGCTCAGCATAAGTTGGCCCTGGCAGCGCGGGGCGCCCAAGTCGAGGGGACTGCGAATCCAATGCTGAGAGACGCAGCGTGTGCGGAAGTCTGCCCTCGGTCTACGGGGATTCCAAAGTCGTTGGGGCCTTGATGGTCGCTGCACAGCTCTGCTGAGAGCGTTGTGGGAGCAATGGTGGCCACAGACACCGCGCCCAGCAGCAGGGATGCCGGCTGGATCCCGTGGGATTCGCTGCAGGCCACGCTGGCCGACTACCACTGGGCACTGCAGGTCAGTGCGGCCCTGCCCCCCCTTGCAGCAGCTCCTAGACACAAGATGTGCACGAATGGCCCTCACTCTTGGCGTGTGCGTGCCTCTCTCTCTTTCGGCTCTTGCCGCTGTCCCTCTCCCCATCTGTGGCCCCTGAACCCCCCTGCTGCGGCTCTGCTGCGCGTGTGTGTGTGCAGGAGTACCTGCGCAGCCTGGTGGTGCGCGACGGCCCCGCCGATGGCTGCATCTCCCCGTGCCCGCGCTGCAAGGGCGATGGGCGCGGCCCGCCCGGGGACGGCGGCCTGGCGCAGC